CTTGCTCGATTGCTTCCGAGCTCTTTTTTCGCATCTCTTTCTCGGGAAAGGGGACTCCGATATTTAATATTGAAATCGAGTAGCAGCAGCATCAGCCATACCCTATAGTATCAATTTACCCGAGGTCGACTCTAACCATCCAACGCCAAAGCGTTTACTTTATTCTCCTCTATTTAACTATTTTTTTTAATTAATGAACCGACATTCCATCGTTCATCCATTTTTATTCATCAGAGAAACTTTTTTTACATAACCGACATCGGTTTTTATGAGAGTTAATATGTAGATCGATTGGTAAACTGTTGGCAGCTCTGACCAATCGATATACATATGATTTCTTTAAAATTAAAAAGCTACTGGACTTTGAGCTAGGCCAGCTGTTGTGGGGATGTATTGACTTTTAGTAACTTATACTTGAATGACACTATTTTCTTCTCGTCAACAATGAGTGATCGAAATTACCTCGAATCGTACCTACTCACGTGGTGTTAAAAATATAATTACATAGATTCTCAGACTCGGACATTGATTCTCACTAGAACGTGGACTGTTATAGCGAAACTTCAAAAGAGCGACCATTTCACTGAACCAACAACGATGGACCCATGGAATAATCGCTGCCATTACAACATTAATGGCGCACGAAAATGCACATATGTCAAAGGCCACAAAACTTGGGGAAGGGGGTGGGGGGGAGGTACCGGGTCGCCGTAATTGGTCGTTTTGAGGCTTGATTAAGCTTCCTGCGATTATCCCAAGGTACCAACAACACACGAGTATATATGTATACACTCTGGTACCTAATACGCGTGTACATAGTAGCAAGCAACAGCAGCGGCAGCAATGACTAAGCGGCTGGCGATAATTGATCGTTTAGTGGCATGCACGACGTTAACAAAACACGTATATACGTATACACGCGCGCGTCCGAGCGGCCACTTGACTTTTGCGTGCATCATGCAAACCCTATATATATATATATATATATATATACTATATCTCACGAGCCCTTCAACTTTGAGCGTATCGAAGCAACAACTCTGGAATGTCTAGCCCTTTTACCGGGTGCCGACTCGAGTGCCGTTTATTGCCTTTTTTTTTTTTTTGTTTTAAAAGCTGTTAAGGCTTTGGGTTCATTGCAAGTGTGATTTTATGAATCCGAAATCGTGTTAGAGATCTCGTTAGAGTCCTTGATTACACGGTAATGGGGAGTGTAAAATCGTTACGGACGGGGGGTGGTTGAAAATTTGGTTCGAGCTCGATCGCTCTCGAAAGTGCTTATCGCGATCTTTTACCACGTGCGGAAGGGCCCAAGAGGAGTTTTTTTTCTTTATCGTATGGCTCTCGTGACGAAAAGCGTAAAGTTTCAATTTTCCGGGTGGTTTGGTTTACGTTTCAGTACTAATTGAATCATCACCACAGAATGCGATTACTTTTATTTTGATGTGTGCCGTTGATTGGAATAATTTGTAGAGTGGACTGTGTTTTTGCGTCCAACAAGTACAATTCTGTAAAACAATTTTTTGACACATCATTTTTCATCGTCTTAAGCATTAGAACGACATTGTGGAGAACAGTATACAATATACGGGAGGTAGGTATTTTCTAGCTGCAATGGGCTAAAGTTATTTTTTTGCCGTTTTCACGTATTTATGCACTATGCATATGAAGCACTTGATAAAATAAAGAGTCGTATTTTCACAGGATCCATTACTATTTTAACGTATTGTTGATACACTTAAAAAATAACAAGTTGATTTTTAAATGACATGTTTATTTTTCGCCGTAATAGCCATTTTGGTACACTGTTTTTTTTATCAAATAGCATCAGATACGTCTAAAAGAACAAAATAAACATAATAAACAAAACAAACATCAAATGTTAAACCCGGCACCGTTGGACAATAAACCCATCTTTTCATTTTATACCCTATAATATACAAACGATTTGCTGGTAATCCTTTTAATGTACAGCATGATCTTACGAGTGGCGGGTTGCTCGATTGGTTTCAAAATTCTCAAATAGAAACAAAAAATAATAAAGTAAATTGCAGTAAATCATTTGAATACAAGTAAACAATAATTAAAATCTCAAAATTCAGCCTAATAATGGTGGTATTTATAAAATTTGGGATATTCATCGTTGAAAAGTAGAGTATCATGCTTTCCAGGGATCGTCAAACAGACAAAAGCTGTACACTCGTTTGTTACGATAATTTTCCTCGTAAATAACGGGGTATTGTATTATTTTTGCACTCCCTCCAACCTCTTTGTATTTATCGTTATATTTTTTTTGTTTTACCCTCGACGATTCATCTTCTTCTCTTACACATAAATACCGAAATCCCACGCTGTGCTGAAACATATCTTCATTAGCGTACAAAACACGCCGCTTAAATAAATCTCGACTGAGAAAACAACGAAATTCTAATGCGCATAAATTCACTCTGTGAAACGTATATCTGCAGTTGTGTATCATGTATAAAGTACACCAAGTAAAATCACAATATTTGTTCTGCGCAATATGACACAGAAGTATGGGCAAAAAAAAAAAAAAAAAAAAAAAAAAAAAAAAAAAAAACAAAACAAACACGTGCATATTTCCCGGAATCCCGTGTACAGTTGTATTATATCGAAATAAATGTTTCATTCACCCATTGTTTGAATCCAAAAAATAATCAACCACCAATAAAAGTGCCACTAACATGCTTGGCAACGACGCAGCTGACCCAGAAACCCTATTCAGCCGGTCACAGTAGTACAACCACGGATATGGTCAGCCAGCGGCGATACCCAATGATTGAACGTTCAAACGCGAGTACCTCCGGGCGCTAATTTTCCCTGTACTCGGTCCACACAATGTTCACCACCGCTCACGCACCTAGTTGGCAAACGCATTAGCAAACTGCTTATATTTTGCTTCGGCAATCGGTTATCGATGCAGTAGTCGAGTATAGCGATTGGAGAACACTGCTCTCGAATTTGGGGCTTGAAATATTTAGAAGCGAATCGACAGCCACATTAACATTATTCGTACAGCTGAGCGAGTGCATTTCCAAGGGGTTGAATTGATTTGGGGAAGATCGAGATACCCCTGGAAATGGAAACTCGGACGCGAGTCTTGACTGACGAGAACGAGGATATTGGAGTAAAAGCATTTGAGGTATCGATCCAATCGAAGTGTAGGCAATAATACATCGCGTTGTACGCGTTGGTTGTCATTTTTTTTATTATTTTTCAACTATATGAAAAATTCTATACCTACTGCGTGAGGTCTCGTGCGTTTGATGATTATTAACCTTCATAAAAGATGTTAATCTTCGTAAAGAGCTCTATCTTGTTGGAGCTACGACGGGTGAAATCATATGCATCATCTGGGTTAATCCACTTTTACAAAGTGGTGCATCATTTATCTTCAACTTTTTTTTTTTTTTTTTCCAAATAAATAGAATTTTGAATGATCACCTTGTTCATTAGGAATTTATATAAAAATACGCCCAACATTAAAAACACACTTGACCGAAATATCTGCACCGACATTAACATTGTTCATTACTATGCTAAGAGCCACGACGAGGTAATAATACAAGGATCGTGTGCACTGAATATTTGAGCAACTCGAGCCATTGAAATATTCAAATCAAAACGCTCCAGTCACCTGGTATGCATTATACACTTTTTTTCCTCGAACTGTACTACGCACCAACTCGTCCATCGGATCCCATATGCACTTCAAGCGACAGGAGATGTGGATTATTCTCTTAGCCGAAGTTCCTCGTTGTCACCCTGAAGATGTTTTCAGTTTGCCGGGAGTGGGGAGGTACCGGGTATTGTTCGCCAAGAGGGTCATCCTCCGTAAAGTTGGAGATTCGCTTGTTTGATTAAACGTGCCTGTGGCATAGCAAGTACAATAGGATCCAATGAGTGGAAGGATCGTATAGTCCCGGGGCACTGTGACGTAGTTTCTCGCAGAGATTGGATATTTTTCGCATAGCGTCGTTTCTCTTTGATCGACAGCCAAAAAAAAATATGCACGAAAATTTTTTGTTGAAGATTATTGATGGCGTGTTTTTCCACTTTTTTGACTCCTCCGCACTCGAAAAAAAAAAAGTTTCACCCACCAGCTTCAAACTTTTTTTTCGAGCAAACACTCCATGAATAGTAGATCACCCGAAAGAGGTTGCGAGTAAAAAAAATTTGCGTTTTTCGTCTCTTTGCTATGCGATCTACTTTTTTGCCGTCATCATCCGCGTCCGAGCTTTAATCAATCCTTTATTGAATCATGCTGAACAGTCTCCGAATAAACAACACGGTTCCTTTCCTTCGCAGTTGAGCTGGCGCGCTTCTCGAGCGTCACTTCAACTCGAACGTCAGAAATGGTCAAACTTCTCGAGTCAAGTGTTTGGCCAACATTTGCGAAAGAGAAACGGGGTCCATGATCATCATTCGGTACAAAAGGAAGTGCCATAGGACGCTTTGAACGAGTGCGCGATGATCCTCGAGTCAATATGATAGAGCCGTTTCATCAGCTTTCGATAGCTTTCGATCTCAAAAACACGCTATGTTAACTACATGCGCCAATTCGCTGGAGCTTTCGGTTATAAAAGTGCAGCGTAGTAAGTGCTTCTATCGAAAGAGTAAAAGCTTTCGTTCGACGGTATGTGCAGAACGTTGGATTATTTTAGTTCATCGACATATGCACTCTGGTCCACCAAAAATTTTACATTCATCGACGATGTTCACATTTTTTGAAAAAGCTGATATCCATCGAGACCCTCCATCATACCCATTAGGTTACTCACCAAAATTTCAATTTCTCGTGCCTTCATAAAGTCCACAAAGTGTCCCAATTGGAGAGCATTCGAAAAATTGAAATTTTCTTATCCGCAAACGATGCATCACATTAACCCTTGTATCCCTTGATCGACGTTTTATAAAGCTTACTATGTCATGGAAAAATGTGTTGACCAACGAAAAACGTATATCTTGTATTTTTACAGCCAAAGGAGTACACACGAGCCAGCCCAAGCGAACGCTAAGCAATAAGAAATACCATGCCGATTAAGGAGAAGCCGAGAACAGCAGCAGCAGCAGACGGCTAAAAGGTGGATAGCGGGCGCGGCTGAGTGGCACGGAGCGAGGGCGTCACCGTGGATCGAGCCGGGCTACGAGGTGGGGAAGAAGAGCTGCTCTGCCTCGAGAGAAAAAAATCCAAGAGCCTCGTGACGGAGGGCATTCGCACGGCCCTGGCGCGGCTGCGGCACGGCACCCCTGCCGGGGGCTCCCTGCCGACAACTCCCAATCCGACGCCCGAGCACAAGGCCCACGTGAGTCTTATTTTTTTTTTTCCTTTTTTTTGTTCGATCATTCTCTTTTTGATTACCCAATTGTGTTTCACGAGGGACGAGTGAAAGAGAGCTTTATTTTAAATCACCCCTAGTACGTGATTTCTTTGATGGTGTATAATTATCAAGTACCGATGAGTTTTGCTGATTTTAAAGACACTTCATCAGGGTAAATACTATCGACGAGTTTCACTCAAACTCACCTTCACGAAACTGCCTGACCAAATTGCAAGACCGTGTAGCGTATTTAAATTTCAGAGCCATTACTGTAACAATATTGGATCAAACGGAGCTCAAAAAGCACCGTTGAGCTCCCACCTGCACTCAAACTAACGAGCCATTGCTGGAGAGGAAAACAATTTTCCATAATTCCATAATTGAAAGCACCGTACAAATACTAGCACGTAATCACACAGCTCGCATCCACAATGCCTCGATTCAATCGTGCGTTGTCGTTACCGCCGGTGGGGTGTAAACACACCCTCAAACAGCTGCACCCGATAACGTATTTCCCTCCGCAAAATCGATCGAAAGCTCGGCATTTATTTTAAAAAAGAGCCGATCGCCAGGCTGATTAAGGTAATTACAGAGCGCGAAAGGGTTTTTTTTTTATCGGCTTTCCGCATCTCCCCGTAGGCGAGTTGAAAATACCGAGCGCGTGTAACGCGTACTGTATCTTGCGTGCCGAGGGAGAATCGCTCCCCCACGTACTCGTCGATCAATTACATTAGCAGAAAAGTGCACTTGCTGCGGAAAATCGAGAGTCACATGCACGGTCTATTACTTGGCATGTGAATTGAGACGCTAACAACTATCGATTATGATACTATGGGTGCTGATGGGCTTTTTCTTTGTCTTGATTTGATATATTTGATATTTGGATAAGTCATAGTGAATCCTTTCAAAAGTCATTGTATAAATATTTTTGACCTTAAATTATGTGGTCTCTCAGATATTTTTGAATGTCTATTGACCATACCTGATATGTACTTTTTTTTCATCTGCATCATAAACAAGGAAGCGTAGAAAAAGTACGCGAAATGGTACAATAAAACGTCACTAGCCCATTAAAATTTTCCACCTCCGCTTTGAGAAACAAGATATATACAGCACCTAACTTTGTCCGTTCCAACATCGCGAGGACTAAATTGAGAAAAAAGTATACACGAGAACTTTTGCCGCGTGAGATACTCTAATGAGTCCGAAAATTCTTAGTTGTAGGGATAATACTGCTAAAGCGCGCCTAGATCGGGAATTCCCAAAAGTAGTAGTACTCCGCAAAGGGCGCGATTCTCTCCTTTCCGTGTTTCTTGCCTCCCTCCCCACCTGCGTGACCTCATTTTTGCGCACGACAGTGGAGAGGGGGGGAAAAAAAGGAGGCTAAGGTAGCTCGGCTATCCCCCAGGGCACCTGTCGAAAGAGTCCGCGAAACTCGCGAAAGTGGCCCCCTCCCCCCTACGAGAATCTCAGCTGAATGCTTGTATGGACGAATTCGCTCGTCCCCCTCCTCTCCCGGTAGTACACGGCTTTTCTGACAAATCGCGAAGAAGAGGGGGACAAAGAAAAGTATACGCCCGAGGGGGGAAAGAGAATTTGGGATTACCCTCGAAGTTGAGACGGAAGGTGTAAGTGGCAGGTAGAAATTCAAATTACTGCCTGTGTTTGTTTGAACCGGCCTTCTGTTGTTGTTGTTGAATCATAATTGCCTTTCCGACAAAACAAAGCGAAATGGCGTAAACATCGAAAAAATCATCCAAAAAAAAACAACTCCAAGTGTGTTTAAGTTACGCTTTTTTTTTTTTTTTTTTTTTTTTTTTGATGAACCGCTGTTTTGTTGATGATAGTTTAAAGAACAATAAAAAGTTTGGTGCATCAACTATTCTACTATAATTGTACGAATCCGAGCACTTTGGAACGAGAAAAACCAATGCAGGAAGACTGCAGGGTGAAAAAAAATCTGCTTTCACAGAAATCGGTACGCATCCAGGTGAGTTGAATTTGTGACACGAATGTTAAACCCTCCACAGCCTTCTTTGTGTCAAACTGATGCGTTTATTAGAAAAAAAAAAAAAAAAAAAAAAAAAAAAACAGAAACACGTTTATTTAAAAATAATACCTACTCATCCGGCAGACAGAGACACCCTCTCTCAAACCCTCGGAAGGTTGAGCCGTGGGGCAGAATACTACACGGGAGTGAAACGGATAATGCGAGTGGGGACTTATTTTCCGAGCTCTTAGCTAGACATCGGAGGTTTCTCCGCCAGCGCAAATAAGCCACCCCCTCGGGGGAAATGCAAACGAGCGACGTGGATCCGGGGTAAATGACAGGTCGTGAGAAACGCTCGTACTCTCTCTCTCTCTCTCTCTCTTCACCCCCTCGATCTCACCGTTGCTATTCTTGTAGCGTTTCAGCAGCGATTTGTTTGTGGAAAATGCAGGGTATGTTAGTTAGTTTTTATCTCTTAGAGCATATCGCTCGCCCGTTTATCCATCGAAGCAATTACATCGAGGTACCACGTGTACTCCGATGATACTTTTCTTTTTTAGTTCACGGTGTAGACTCGTCAGCCCATCAATGGTTCATCCGCAGCGTTTCAGGGTAAGAAAAAGTTGCACTATCTAACTCCCTGCTGGAAGAGATCTCTTTTCCCTATTTTATGTTCTCCCCTCGTGAAAGGGTTGTTGTTTTGTGTACCATATTTCGAGCGATTCTGTGATCCCTTTTCCTAACGTTTTGATTCTGTAAATCGGGTAAAAGGTTGTGTCTTCAGTTTTGTTTTCTTTCGTTACGTGATAGATCCTCGAGAAAGGTCATTTGTACATACTACTGAGCTTGAGAAATGTTATTAATATTTGCTCTTCGAATGTCGGAAAATGTTAATACGAGAGCAAGTCCTGTCAAGCGGTTCTTTTCATTACATTTTAGTAAACGAGTAGCTGATGTCATTGATGTCACTGTGTGGTGACGTTGTCAGAAATAAAGTTAATAACGCAGTATGCAATTAATGTCTAAAAATAAATCATGGTCCAAAGGGTAATATAAATTTACATGTACTAATGAGTTTTTTTTTTTAAATTATTATTATTGCTCTCGTTATGAAAGCAGCAGTTACAGTGTTAGTGTATTATGTATATGCATTGGTGTTTCTGTAATTAATCTTTTATTCAGTGAAAAGGTACACACATGACCAAGTAAAATGAAGCTCTCCTGTTTTAAAATTTGATTTATTAAAAATTATTCATACGCGTGGCAATACTTGAGAGATTAGTTTGTGACGTAAGAAGCGAAAGAGCATGCACGCACCCAATGATCGTTGAGATTGCCAATTTTTTTTTTTTAGAATTCACGCGAGTCACGAAAACTGGGGGGGTTCGCTTATGAATTTAAATTTACTTCGATTTTAGCTTGTAATTAGTAAATGTACGAACACGTGCCGTCGTCTGAAACTCGTTTACTTTCTTGGCGGGAGCACTTTTGCGTTCAATACTCCCTAAGGTGCTTTAATTAAATGTCAAGTTCGAGGAAAGTTGAGTTAAACTTGGACATGCTCAAACAAGTAGACAAGACCCGAGGACTATGGTAAACAGATTCACTTACCAAATGGTTCGCGCAAAATGATCCGCGTTGAATTACAGCGAATGCCACTCAAGCAACTACAAGTTGAAAATTTCTCCGAATGGGACGTGGAAAAAACTACATGACAAGCAGAAATAAGCGAAGCTGGTACACGATGAGCTACATTGCGCAGTGCCGTAAAAACCACACGCCACTTAAGTCGCTCTACTTCCAAAAAGCTTCTACCACACGGTGAGCACGTATACGTAAAACTAAGAAAAGAAAAAACACCCAGACGTCCAGGTTCTCGTGTTCATTAAGTAAATCGGTCCTCTAAGGTGTTTACCTTCCCCAGGACAGGTTCTAACCAGCGCGACCACGGTAATCATTCAACAGCCGTACATGTACGTGTGGACGAGCCTTGTTCTCATTTCTAGCTCTTAAACGTGACTCCCACGTGATTTCGCGCGCTCTGATTAGTCACGAAAAGCTGAGGGGCCAAACGGCTCTGCTGATATTGGGAACGAACGACACCACCGATTCGCACGAGTATATATATAGTGGAGGGGACGGAGTTTGCGGGGCCTAGTAAAATAAAGAAATTTGTTATCGTCACTTGTTACCCAACAGCTGATTGTCACTTAAAGGCACACTTTGTTTTGTTTGTTTTCTTTTTATTCACGTTTTAATTTTGCAGCTATTTTACCAGCATCCGTCGCGCGATTGCATTTGATGAACTCGCCTTGGGGATGATTAATAGCCGTAGTTTTTCATCGCGTCCGCTCGTGAGTAATTGTCATTGTGCAGACGCGCAACAGTACACATTATGTTGTATGGAGCGACAGAGGGAGTCGTCACAATTTGTCACTCGCAAACCGTGAAACGTATTATGGTTTGACCTTTAGAGGGAGTAAAACCAGCTACCCTCGCATGGAGACTTTACTGGTCTTCTCGTTTCCGCTTTTATATTTTCCACTGTATTGTGGTAGAGTCTCTCTTCTTCCCCGGAATCTCACACCTGGCACGTACAGTCTCCCAATTTTCCAAGGAACTCAATGATTACGTCAGAGGCAAAGGGTCTCGAAATCACGTACCTGCAAGTGCGACGAATTATATCCAGAGCACATCAGGGGAGCTCCCATTAAACCTGCAATCAGTAGCTTCGGGCAGACCAAAGGAGGGGGGAGAAACATCTCCAAACTCCGGGGCTGGAAAAAAGCAACAGGGAGACGAGAATTTCTAATTAGACGGGTAGCTGTACGTGTGTACGCGTGGACGGGCACGGGCTGAAAGTTTTGGTAAGCCGTGTGTATAGGAACCGGTGGGTCGGTACCGTCGCACTAAGTTTCGAGCCCAACAACAACGGCGCCAGCAGCGTCAACGGCTGAGAAAAAAAAAGGAGCTTAATTGGGTGATTAGTCGGTTG